TTGAACAGACACGTTTAGCAATCAAGAAACAGGCTTTTATCTACTTATTTATTTCCTTATTTACAAAATAAGAAGTCCCGAGGCTCTGTTTCTTCAGCCCACTTTTTAGCCCTGTCCGAGTAACAAAGCAAGATCCCCCTGTCCAAGGCTTGGCTTCACACTGGAGTTCACCTGCAACCCAGGGTATGGCAGCTCATAAAAAAACGTTTAGAAAAACCTCACTGCTTATTGAGTAAACAAGCTAATTTGCAGCTTGACATTTTAGCCGTGTCCTATGTAGATGACTTTCAATATTTCTGAATAAACACCCTTAATGGCTGCGCAATAATAAATAGGATATTAATACCAGGAGCCAGGAGCTGATTTAACCTTTTTTATCTTCTAACCTCAACAGGGACTCTGAAAAATACGCAGTTTTTTATATGACGAAATTAGCAAGTTTTCAATAGCTGAAAATTATGTCCATTAAGAACCGAAGCCAGCCAGCCTATAGCAGATCCTGTTCACCTCTCTCTTACAGGGTTACTGTGGGCAGCCCGAGGATCCTTGCCTTGATCACATGAGACAGCTCTGGGACGTGCACCCAAAGCCCGATGCTCTTCATCCTTTTCATGCCTTCTTGCCCCATCATCACTGCTCATCAGAAGGAGTAACTCAGGTTGACATCACTCCTACCAGAGACGGGAGCTACTGAATTATCTAAGCACAAACCTAAATACTCCCTTTTAAAGGATAACTGATCTACTAAAAGCAAGTATTGTTTTGGACATGCCATGTCGGATTTATAACGCTTCGCTTCGCATTGCGCTGTTATCTCCCACGATGTCATTTGAACAACGAGAAGCACCATGACACAACATGACAGCTACCGTGGCAATGAGGGAGAGATGCTGGCTGTTTTCCAGTTCCGTGGCGGCTCACCCCAAGCACAAGATTCAAGGGACAGGGATGGCAGTATGTCTGCAGATGGAAAGTTACACACGTCTCCCCAACTATCCGCAGCAAACGGATCGCTAAATTCACCTGCTTTTCACATAATTAATGTTCCATTTGCTTTCATTATAGGTGATTTCATTACCTTCTTCTTCCAAACAGCTTGATTACAAGGGAAGAAAGGCTCCACCATCAGCTTTTTACCAATAATGAGGTATGTGCCAGACAAAGGATGATTCTTTTTCAGTGTAATCCTGACCATGATTCCCAATTTCCCCTTACAAAAACTCCCTTCTGTTGGGGAGAAGCACCATCCTGAGCAAAGCCCCGCACAGCAATGCGGGAACACGCATTGCTCTCCAAGAAGGTCTCTTTGGTCAATGTCCCTTGAGAAATTCCTCAAAATGATAAATCACAGGAAAGATTGTAATAGTGTCCTGGCATAAAAAGTAACCATGTGTATTCAGCGTCAAACTCTAAAAGCATTCTGATTTTCACTCTCTTCTAGAGGAGAGAGAGCAGACAGGGTAGCTCTGCTTTTCATTAAAGCTATCTCCATTTTTACAGAAACGTCCAGGAAAAAAAAGGTGAAGACAGCTCTGTTTTCATATACATCCTCAAATTGGGAGGAAAAAAAAAAAAAAAAAGAAAAAGAAAAAGAAAAAAGAGCACATCCTTCAACAGAAGCTGACAGCTTTGGAAGAAATAAAAACCAATCTTCCAGTTGGAAAGGGCTTTTTCTCAGCAAAAAACACACACCACCACAAGAAGTCCACCAAGCTCAAGTTCCCTAGCGTTCACACCCACCACAAAAGCCTGGATGTGGGATGATGCTTAGAGGGTCATGCTGGTTCCTTGCTCCAAAAGCAAAGCCATCTCCAAGAAGGTAGCCATGCTCCATTCTGCAGATCCTACTATTTTTTATGTCCATTTAATATCAGCTAGCTCCTCTTAAAACGTTATTATTCTGATCTAAGTGGACTCACTTATCCTGCACTGCACCCCACATATTCTCTAGATGAAAACAAGAAATTGGCAAGTCCGGCCTGCCCATATGCCATTCAATTTGTGTCTGCTGGTGTCCTGACCTCACTTTTGTCTGAGCTGCTTAACGTCCAACCGAGCAGCTGAAGAATCCTCCTGCACCTGAAGCTAAGGAAGCTATTCTTTTCCCCCGTCACATAAACTTAATTTGCTTTTCAAAGAAAAATTGTAGTTTATTATTGGGCTCCTCAAACGTCTGAGGAAATACACGGAAAATGCTTGGCACATATGGTATTTTTATGTGGCTTATTTTTTCACTTGTCTACAAGTCTGCGCAGAATTACTGCTATTTGGCACACAGCAAAAGGAAGTCTCCTGTGCATAACGTGATTTAGTCTGGCCAATAAAGTGGAAGTGGATTTCTTGGTGGCATATTAAGTTCCACTGCATGCCATTTGCACAAGAAGCAAAATTGCAGTTTCATGTTCCTTTATGATGATACATTTCCTGTCAGGCATCCTCATCTTTTTCTCTTTCCCCAAATATTAAAATCTCTCCCAGCGGTGATTCTCCAAATTTCCCATTCCCATATATTTGTTCTCCTGCAACAAGCCCAATTTGTACAGGGCTGGAGCATCAGCCCTTTTCTACAGGCAGTGACGAGCAGCCAGCAGATCCAGTGAGAACAACAAGGCCACACAGAGCAGTTAAGGATCCCCAGGGCTGAGTTCTCAGTACTGGGCCAGAGAATCATAGAATCATAGAATCACCACGGTTGGAAAAGACCTCCAAGAGCATCCAGACCAGCCATCCACCTATCACTAATATTTCCCACTAACCATGTCCCTCAGTACAACATCTATACGTTCCTTGAACACCTCCAGGGATGCTGATTCCACCACCACACCCCTGGGCAGCCCGTTCCAACACTTAACCACTCTTAGTGCCAAATGCAATGGAATAAATGAATCTTGGCGTGATTTTTATAGCACACCACAAAATGGATGCTATCAGTTTTCCCATCTAGATGGCCTCACACGACACCATCACAGTGGGAGCTTTGATCTGAAAACCGAAGATGATGTCTACAGTACCCACAGTCCTTCTTTCCCCTATTATCTCCCCTCTCTTTCCCTCCTGCTATATAGTTTTACCTATTATTCCATGCCTAATAAATCAGTAGTAATGCTCCAGCATAAAACATTTATTATCCTGAGCACCACGTGACTGATGAGTGACTTAACCTCAAATTTCTGTCTGTACAATTCACGCACATTGATTTTACATGAAAATCACTCTTGACTTGGAGGAGATGAACCCTGATAAATTTAATCTCTTTAATGCTTCTTCATTCTAAATAAACGTAAAATGTTTTCCTCTCTAAAGTTTTTCACCAGTAAAACCTGCAACACAACTTGGCAAAAACCTCCTATGCCACCCTTCCAAGTTAATCAGTAAAGCTTAATAAATATAAAATCAGCATCAATGTACAGGCCAGTGAGCCTCACATCTGTGCCTGAAAGATTATGAAGCAGATCTTCCTGGAAGAGATGTTAAGGCACATGTGTGACGAGGAGGTGATCCGAGACAGCCAGCACAGCTTCACCAAGGGTAGATCATGCCTGACCAAACTGGTGGCCTTATGTGATGGAGTGACGGCATCAGTAGACAAAGAACAACTCATGTCACCTACCTGGATTTCTGCAAGGCCTTTGACACGGTCCCACGCAACATTCTTATCTCTAGATTGGAGAGAGATAGATTTGAAGGATTCAGTGTATATTTGTCTGGATGGTCGTAGCCAGTGGGCTGTTGTCAATGGCTCAATGTCCAGGTGGATGCCGGTCACAAACCGTGTCGCCCAGGGGTCTGTCTTGGGATCAGACAACAGTATCCTGGGCTGCATCAGAAGAGGGGTGGCCAGCAGGGCAAGGGAGGTGATTGTCCTATTGTCCTCCTGTACTGTGCCCTCGTGAGGCCCCATCTGAGTACTGCGTCCTAACCTATGGCCCACGGTACAGCAAGGATGTGGAGCTGTTGGACTGGGTCCAGAGGAGGCCCATGAAGATGATCAGAGGTCTGGAGCACCTCACTTACGAAGAAACGTTGAGGGAATTGGGTTTGTTTAGCTTGGAGAAGAGAAGGATCTGGGGAGACCTTCTAGTACTTGAAAGGAGCTCGCAAGCAGGAAGCAGATCGACTTTTTACACGGTCTGATAGTGATAGGACAAGGGGCAGTGGTCTGAAAGAAAGTAGATTTAAGTTAAATGTTAGAAAGAAATTTTTTACTCGGGGGATGGTGACGTGCTGACACAGGCTGCCCAGAGAACTGTGGATGCCCCATCCCTGAAGGTGTTAAGGGTCAGGTTGGATGGGGTACTGGGCAGCCTACGCTGGTGGGTGGCACCATACCAACCCAAGTAATTCTGTGATTCTACAATTCTGTGATCAAAATGCTGATTCCTCAAAGACCAAACTGCTCAGCCGACTTGACATCTCTGTTAAAAAATGCGCCATGTAATCAGATCTGACAGCTGCTGTCAAAGCCACCAGCTGGAATGCCGTGGCTGGCTGGAAGAGGCACCATTCTGGGGCCATCTCACCGCTTCTGACACAGCACCACACCTCTCACGGTGCATCCCCACGGTGGGTGGCACCAAGCAGAACCTCTTGAGCCATGGGTCTCCCAAAGAATAGTCTATGGTGTGGGCTGAGGGGCCTTGCAGCTAAGACAGAGATGTTACCCATGAATTTGCTTTGCTAGGGCATGGGACAAGTTTCGTATTTTTTTCATTCGCATTTCGTGCTGGCTACGTTACTGCAGTTTCTCCCGGTGGTGCACAGAGTACGGGTGCAGGGCGAACCTCGAGCACTTTCAGAACCATTAGAGAAGGCTCGGAAGAGCCGCGGGAGTCAGGAAAGCGGTACGCATTCCGCGGTGTCTCTCGCCACCTACCGACGACGAGCGATGGGATTCAAGCCCGGCGCCGGGACCGGCCCGCCCCGGGAAGCCCTCCACCGCCCAGGGCGGGCCGACACCGGTGCCGGGCTCCTCCCGCAGCCCTTAAGAGCGGCGGCCGCGGGCGGCGGCTCGCGCCGGGGCAGCCATGGGGGAGGCGGCGGGGGGCAACGCGGTGCCGCCGCCGGCGGAGGCTGCGGGCGGAGGGCAGGTGAACGCCCTGACCGTGCTGGCCCTGCTGGAAAAGCTGGTGTCCATGCTGGAGTCGGTGGAAGGGCAGCAGCGGCAGATGGAGCAGAGGCAGCGGGGGCTGGAAGGGGCGGTGAAGGGCATCCAGGGGGATCTGGGCAAGCTGTGCCGCAGCCACGGGGCTACGGGCGCGGCGGTGGAGAAGCTGCTGGAGAAGTCGCAGAAGGTGTGCGCTCACACCCGCGCGGTGCGCGAGCGGCTCGAGCGGCAGTGCGCGCAGGTGCGGCGCTTGGAACAGCACCACGCGCAGCTCCTGCGCAGGGACCGCTTCAAAGTGCTCATCTTCCAGGTGAGGAGCGGAGCGGGACGGGGCTTTGCTGCTGCTGGCGGACGTGGGGAGGGAGGGAGCCCTGCTGCTGCTGCTGCTGCTGCCGCCTCGTCAGCCTGCAGGAAGGGCCCGCTGTAACTCCTGGCAAGCTCGGGGAAAGGTCCCTTTTTTTTTGCTCTTTGCAAACTTGGGGAAAGAGCCCTGCCTGTTAACTTTTAGCAAAAGTCTCCTTTTGCCAACTCTTAGCAAACACAGGGGATGGAAGCTCTTTCCCCGGCTCTTAGTGAAGTTCGAGGAAGGCCCCATGACCCCTCTTAGCAAACCTTCGGAAAGAGCCTTCTCTGAGTTTTGCTAACAGCTGTTAGCAAACTCAGAGAAAGAGCCCATTTTGCAGACTTGGAGCGCAATCCCGTATTGCTAACTCATGGCTAACTTGGCACACAGATCCCTTGTTTTCCTAACTTTTAGCAAACTTGGGCACAGAGCCGCTTTAGTTAACTCTCAGCAAACTTTGGGAATGTTCCCAGTTTGCTAATGTTTGGCCAGCTTGGGGAAAGAGCCCCTGAACGCCACCCTTCATCTGCTTGCAAGAGCAGGGCAGAAGTGCAGCTCCTGCCCCACTCCCACCCCATCAGAGAGGAGCTAAAAATGCAGCGAAACCTCCCGGGAGCCTGTCCAGTGATAGCAGCAGTTTGCATATTTTCCCCTTTTTAAGCAATGGGCTGGACAGAACGCGGCATGAGCTTTAACTAAACACAGGACGTGAGTTTTACATCTGGAAAAAAAAAAAAAAAAAAAAAAAGAAAGAAAGAAAGAAAAGAAAAAGAAAAAGGAAAAGGAAAAGGAAAAGGAAAAGGAAAGGAGGGGGGTAAAAAAAAAAGAAAAAGAGACCTACAGAATGTACCAGAGATGGAGAGCAGATGTGGGGCTACAGCTTGGGTGTGTCACAGCTCAGTACACTGAGTTTGTCGGCTGCGTATTATGGCTTCGGTTGCTCACTCTGCTTCTTGGACAGTTGATTCCTGTTTAAAAAAAAAACAACAACCAAACAAACCCTTAATTTTGACAAAGTTGGCAGGTCTGGCCAGTGCCCAGCCACATCCTCACGGAGAGGAAGCCCCCTCCGCTCTGCTTATTGTTCTCCCAAATGACAGTGTGTGTGGTGTGGCCCGGAGAGGAGGGGCCATTGTAGTTTCCACCCCAGAAGGAATGTGGAAATTATTCCTGGAAGAGCTAAATGGAAAGATGCACGTTGCTGGGCTCCTCTGAGGGCTTTGGGAGCTGCCTGTGTGAGTCAGAGCACGGCCACCTCCTGTTAGCTGAGAATGGGCACCTCCCGGCCCACATCTTGACTGCACCCCAAGGGGAGGGTGCGCTTAACTTGAGCAGGGGGAAGGAAATTTCATGACACATATTACAAGCTATACAGTGTTTTCCTTCAGGGAAACTTTTAGCATTTTTAGAAGGCATAGCACATAGAGTGAAGACAGCTGTATGTGTGCTGTGCAGGGACCCCGCTGCTACCACAACAACTGCAGGCTGTGAGCGAAAGAAACCATACCAGGAGATGTTTGGAGGACGAAGCAGCATACTGACAGCTTGCTTCCTGCCACTAACCAGCCCTGCAAAGTTAGGAACTGCTTACATCCATTAAAGTCAAAGCCCTTCCTTAACGCTGGGTCCTAAAACACAGCCTCTGTCACAAGGATGTCACCGACCGTGTGCTGGTGGGGAAGGGAACATCACTGACCTACAGTGGGAGTAGAAGCATAAGAAAGGCTGCCATTCAGCTGATGAAGGCAATGACTGGGGTGCTCCGGGGCGCGCCCAGGGCTCGCTCCAGGCAGGAGGTGGGATTTTCCACTGGGAGGATGCAGCCAGCAGGAAAGTGAAAACTTGCCAGGAGCACAAGCAGCCTCTCCACGGGAGGGGCTGGGGCTAGAGGAGTGCTAGCCAACGTGGGGTAATTGGAGGGAGGGAAAAGGGAGCAGAAGGCTGGCTGGGGTTTCTGCTTTTCCAGAGAAAAACAATACCAGGAAGGAGAAGTCAGCGAGGCCATACTGATGCCAGATTTCTTTAAAAACAAAGGTAAAGCTGGTTGCGTGCAACTTCTCTTCGATCTGGGGAGACTTCTTTTCAACTCAAAATGAAAACAGACGTCACACAGCACCTTTCTTAGTAGGACCTGCTTTTCCAGCTTAGGGAGGAGCTTAGAGTGAAAATCAAAACCGAAGTTTTCTCTCCCTAGACTGTCTGCATTGCTCCTAGTTTGAGTATATTTGCAGTAATCAGTGGCATGTTTTAATGGCACCGTATCCAAGTGTCTGGGGATGCTGAAGTTATTACAAATGACACAGCAATTTAGCAAAACACTGAAATGACTGTTTCAAAAATCCTTGTTAAGCTTTGGCATTGTTATTTTGTGCTTGCCACATGACTGGGTTTTTGGTGGTGGTTTGGTGGGCTGTTTTACTTTTAGCTGTAGAAGCAGAATTCAAGAGGAGAAAGGCCCGTGTTTAACTTTTCAGTAAAATGTCACGTTTGCTAGTGAAACTAGGCCAGATACAGTATGACAAAATTATAGCCTGGGGTTGAGCACCCTGATACTCAAACCCATGTCAGGTGCTGCTCTTGGTGAATGCTTCATCCCCAGATGAGTGCTCTCATTTCTGAGGTTCAAGCTGGATATTAGGGAAAGCTTCTCCTCTGAAAGAGTTGTCAGGCACTGGAACAGGCTGCCCTGTGGTGGAGTCACTGTCCCCGGAAGTCTTCAAGAAATGTGTAGGTCTGGTACTAAGGGACGTGATTTAATGGATAATATTGGTGTAGTTGGACAGCTGGACTAGATGATCTTGGAGGTCTTTTCTAACTGTAATGATTCTCTGATTCCATATTGGTTACTCTTACATAGATTAATGACAGAAACATCTCGCGTGGCTCCTGGGATGTGATCCAGCTAGGGCAATGGGATGGGGTGGCCAAGCCACAGACACCGCAGCCTGCACAGGACGTGAGATGGGCAGCCAGACGCATCCTCCTCCTCCTGCAGCTCCAGCCCCATTGGGACATGCTGATCTGAAGAACACGGGTGGGAAGGAGGTGGAGGTGGAGCTCCGGCTGCTTTTAGAAGCATTAGTCACGTTCTGACAGAAATACCTTTCTGCAGAGCAAAACAAGCTTGAGGCTAGTAATCATTTAGGCATTGTAACAGCACCTAGCAGCACAGACTGCTATAGGCCCTTCTTGAGGACCTCTTTCTACGTGCAATATGGCAAATCCAACAAAAACCCAAACGGAAGCACTTCCCTGCTGCAGCATCAGGCACACATCCACTTGTTCCCTCAGGCTTCAGATATACTACTCACCGTGGCTGCCGTGCTCCTTCTCAGCATGTGCTGTGGATGATGATCTATGGGAGGTTCTCAGGAAGAGCTGGTCACAGCCAGAGGAAGGCTCTGCTTTCGATTTTGCTGATACTCCTGGCATTAGCAAGAGCTCGCATGCAGAGATCTTGCACCCTTCTTTTCAGCTCTACAAGGAAAAACAGAATTCAGGCTCACAAGCTACGTACAAACTGACATCAGAAAATGCAAGTGCCATTTTTGAACTCAAACGTAGATAATGAAAAGAAGTATTGCTCCTTTCCTATGTTTTTAGATTAGATCAAGAGGAAAAGGTAAAAAGTTGCTCCTCTTTTTTATTTTTTTTTCCCTCTCCTCTCATGGAAAATAGCTACGCAGTTCGTAACCGTCAGCATTTTTAACTGCATTGTTCTCATCTTTCTAAATGAAATACCAGACAGCTCAGATGTTTATCAGAAGAGAATACAGATGTCATGTGGACACGTTAGGCCTAAAAGTTAACAGCAGCTCACTTATAATGCCATACCAGTGACTGAAATGGGAAAGGCTGTTGCAGCACAGAACACTCCTACTGCACTACCTCTGCGTTTCCAAAGCCTTCTAAGTCATTTATTTTTATTTGCATTTTAATGGTTCCCATAATCCTGAGGTCTTCTATACTTGTGAGATAGGAAAGCATGCTACTCCCATTTTTCAAGCAGAGCAAGTGGTGCCCAGAGGCTGGTGTTTGCGAGGCCATACAGGAAGCTTGGACACACACGATTTCTCAACTGCCAGTACTATCTGATTGCCAAAGACCCCCTATAATCAGCTTTTAGTTGTATCATTGGCTCATTAGCACACAGAGGGTTGTTTGGTTGGGTTTTATTAATTACTAAAAAAAAAAAAAACCCAAGGATAATTTGATTGTTTCCCTTCTACTGAGTCGCAAATTTGACAGAAGGTGAAATAAAATCCACGCTTGTATTTTTAGTAGGCCACAGTTTGTCCCTGAAGAGAGCCATGCTGGTCACTTCTGTGTTTAACCTCTCTGTGCTCAGCTTGTGTGATGCCTCTCTCCTAGAGTCACAAGTCAAAAGCCTATCCATACGTACTGAAATCAGTTTGCTGTGCCATTCAGGAGCTCGCAGCTGAATGCTGAGTTGTTTAAAACCATAAGCAATTACCTAGGTTTGCAAAGAATGCACAAGACGAGAAAATTATGTTTTCTACTGAGTTCTCATGCTCTAGGGAGTAATTTAAAACTGCACCCACTCACGTAATCCACATTTCATTATCTGCAGCAGGAAGAAAATACAAATATTTGTACTGCAGTAAGAGTTACGCTCGCTTACAGCTGGCACAGGTGTTTTCTGTAGTTGTGGTCACTGCGAGGAGAACTGCAGCAGCAGATGGAGAAGGGTGCTGGCTTTGTCAGGGCTCCCACCGCAGAGAAAGCGCCGTCTGTGCAACTGCACCCAAACCATGGGAGCATCCAGACCGTACCCAGCCATCCCTTTGGTGACGCTTTTCTTTATCCTGCAGCGTAGCTCGCCAGCACACCCAAGTCCCACTAGTGTGCAGTTATTCACCAGCGTATCGCTGAGCTGCAGAAGGGTGTAGCACAGTAGCCTTTACTGCTTTATTTTTAAAGAAAGAAACAGAACTGCACAAAGTAGCATGGCATCTTCTGCCATCCTTATACAGCCTTGCCAGCAAATCTAACCCAGGACACTGCTCTCAGCACTCACAATTGTATGCCCAGCCCTGAAATAACGAGCATGTACTTGGCAGTGTATGTGGCCTTTTTTCCCCTTTTAACTGTAAGCTCAGGCCCACTGGGGAGAGAGCTGAGGCTATTACAACCATTTCACTCAGCACTTGTTGCTCTCATATCTAATGATATTTTTTTTTGTTGTTATAAAAAACAACAACAAACAAACGCAAAAAAAGACCAAATAAATCCTTCCAAATCACAGAGCTTTTTTTTCATTTCTCAGTTACTAATTTCTACTATTTCCCAGTACACTAAGAAAATTTCCCTCTTATTTTTTTCTGTGCTCTAAATAGCTGTAGAACAGCATGCATTCTAAATATCCTGGGCCACATGGCTTACTCTACAGAAAGACTCTTGGGAGAGGAAAGGTCTACAGATTTTCCCCAGACTCCCTGATTCTCTCTCCATGAAGAAAGAGAAGCATTCTCAGTGCCTGAGCAGTCCTCTGTGTAGCACAGAGGCCTTTGAGGTGAGTTTAAGGCACATCAACACTAGCACCAGTGTTTTGGGCCATCCCCACCCAAACAACTCTTCCCAAAGACCTGAGGCCATCCAGAGGAAGTAGGGTCAGGCAAGGAGTAATAAATCTTATTATACATCCAGTGGGCAAAACTTCACAGCCTTAACTCCTGAAAGTAATATTCAGATCACTGTGATCGTAGAAAGGAGAAGAATAAATTGTGGGTCGTGCTTTACACACCATGCTAAGTCCGGTGTTAGCCAAGAAGCTTCAATGTCTTTTCTTCTAGTTGGGAAGGAAGCCAGCAGAGGTGATCTGTCTGCACCAACGCCTCCGTAGCCACGATATCACCCCTTCTTCTCAAGGATAGGTGTACAACCTCCGAAGTGTTTAAAAACAGAAGCTAATTTAAATGACAAATAATGGAATTTCCATTATGTATACATTCCAAGTCACTCTGAAAGAGAAATCTTAACAGTTGACAGCTCATTAGTCTTAAACTGTACCAGATAATGGTTCAGCAGGCTTTGAGTGGCTTGTTACTGGTTAAATACGCTGAAACAGCAAGAGATGTACAGCATCCTTCCTCTCACTGTTGGAATTTAAAAAAAAAATAATAATAATTGTTCAAGGTTGTGGTTTGTTTATTAAATCTGTGAACTATGAAACTCAAATATTGTCATTTCTTTCAGGAGGAAAATGAGATCCCTGCCAGTGTTTTTGCAAAGGAGCCTATTCCCAGCATTACAGAAGGAAAAGAAGAGCCCGTGGATGAGAACAAAACTCTGGAAGAAACCTTGCATACAGTGGAATTATCTTCAGAGGATGACATACATCACGAAGATGATATGGGCGACAGCGCAGACGAGAAAGCAGAAGAGTCAAGAGCTGAGAAAATTAAAAGGACCAGCCTGAAGAAGGTCGACAGCCTTAAGAAAGCGTTCTCCCGCCAAAACATCGAGAAGAAGATGAACAAGATCAGCACGAAGATCGTCTCACCTGAACGGAGAGAGAAGATTAAGAAATCCCTTACAGTGCACCATCAGAAATCCTCCTCTTCCAAGAGTTCGCCTTTCAAAGTTCCGCTCACGTTCAACGTGAAGAAATCCCGTGAAGGAGAAAGCCCCGCTGAAGGCGAAGACAGACCGGCAGATACAGCGAGCACCGAGCAGGCCGAGAACGAGGAGGAGATGTCCTTCGCCGACATGCACTCAGATATGACCCCCACCACGTCTCTGGCTGAGGAGAGCAAAGCCGTCATCGATTCTTTGGAGAAAGAAGCCAGGATGGAAAGCAGCGCCGTGACAAACAACAACATTGAGCTGTCCATTGTTGAGGATGATGAAGAGTACGGGGTGCCTCTCGAAGACTCCAGCCAGAAACTGTACGATGAGAGGAGCAAACCGGTCAGCGGAGAAATGGAAGATTCCGATGAAGAAACAACCCAAGCAGCTGTTCTGCAGATAGACCAAACAGCCTAAGACGTCAAAGCCATCCTTCAGCTTCCAGATGCCCACGGTTTTGCCTAGGTGAATGACTGGTTTCTGCTACCCGTGCGGTAGCGGTGTTTGGGTTTCTTCCAGCCTTCTCTCTGCAATGATAATTTACCGCGTCGTATTGGAATGCCCAAATACTTCTGTTTCCCTCTCTCGGAGTATTTAGTACTGTCAGTAATTTTGTATGTGAGTGTAGAAATGGTGAGAACACTTGAAAGTGATTTCTTCGCTATGCTCTGTGAGTGCTGAGAGCCTCTGTAGCTGCAAACCTGCGCAGCTGATGTGGAGCTTTGCTCCCTAATGTTGCAAGGCCAAAAGGGCAGAGTACATAGCAAAACTGAAACGTTGGCTCCATCAGTCTCTATGGGCACAGGATTTTTGTGCCAGTAGTCTCTCACTTAGAAGAAATGACAGTGTTTATACGGAAATGAAAAGATGTACTTCAAACTACCGGAGTTATAGAAATATGTTAGCGACAGGCTTGAATGTGTAATCAGCTGCTGTACCTTTAATGGATCGGAAGTAGTTTAAAAAAAGAGAGAGAGGAGTTTGATAGAAACATTAGAAACACAGAGATAGTCTGAAGGAAGTATGAAACGCTACGAAGTGTTAAGGAAAAAAGGGGGGGGGAGCAAAAAATAAAAGCCCACTATATTAAGTCTATACTTCCAGCTTAAAGAATATATACTCAGATAACACTAATTAATTAATCCTTAATCCTTGTAACAAACTGCTATCGAACTTTGCACTGCACAACTTTGTATCTCAGAGTATTTTGGAAACAGTATAATTTATCTTTTTACAAATTATTTCATATATAGAGTTATATCCACACAAAAGAGTTAGATAATAACAGGGATGTAAGGGCAATGCTTCAAAAAGGGGAAAATGCTTTTTTAGGCATGCCTCGAGGGCAAATTGCGTTAGGGACTGAATATGACGACAGGCATGAGTTTACATAGGAACGAGTCTGCAAAGGCACGAGATTTGATTCTCTGTTAATAACTTAGCTCGGGATCACCTCCGTGCTGTCAAAATCGGACGCCTAATTTTTCAAGATTTGTGGAAAATGAGACGTTCCGGAGGAGCCCGTTTGCTATGAACATTCATTCCTGTCACTTCACAAAGATGAGGGTGCAGCGAAGAAAGGGAAGCACAGCACCTGCAACAATCACCTTACATCCTTGTTTGTTTATGCGTTGGGTTATTTTTTATATATACGTACAAATATAATTCTACAGATGCTTAACACTGCACTAAAAGGTTGCTTCCTTCAACTTGTATTTAGCATCACCAGTTATAGGGGGAATAAAAACTACAGCAAAAAATGCCATTGTGACATGTTTAGCAGATACTGCTCCATGGAGGTGGTATCTGTGACCTCACAGATCACATTCCAGATCACACTGGAAATTAGTTGCTAAGAGCTTACAGTAGGCAAGTACTGTTAGAAGTTAAGCTCTGAAGTATACAGCGTCATCTAGGAGATACTGTTTGCAAGGAAAAAATAAGGCGTAACTCATGTGACTTTATTTCTATTTTGTATTAACTACAGTGGATCTCCAATGTTTTTACTTGTAACTAACGACAAATATGACAAATAAAAGCATAACAAGAAACAGAGGTCTTTCAGTCTTTGGGAGAAGCGGCGCGAGAAGGCAGCAGATTAAATTTAAAGGTCAGGCATTTCTGAGTGCATTGACATCCCCTGCTTTTCTTCCTCAGTGCTGCCATTTAGTGATGCGAACACCAAAGGTGCTCAGGCTGTGCTTCCAGACACCATCAGACCTCAAACACACCCGAGCACAGCCAGACAGTTCCCCCAAACCTGCCAGCTCCACATGCACTCTTTATCAGACCACTTTAAATAGCCCTGAAAGCATATCTGTGTTGAACTGTGTGAGCTGCTTCCAGACACGCCTGGGCTGTCTGTGCTGTTGAATTGTGAGGCAGCCAGGGCCTGCAGCAGTGATTGAGCACCTGGTGGGAAGGCAGGGCCAAGGCAGGGGAGCTCAGGTGTAAGCAATGAATCTGAGCGAACGGAGGGGCTGGAGGCAGGATCCACCCCTTCCCAGACCTCTTTTAAGGGCTGGCAGTGGAGGTAAAGGTATGTTACGGGGCTTCCTTGCATAGCTGAAGGCTTGTGAAGGTAAGGAGATTTTCTTCTTTTGTTTCTGTATCCACAATTGTTACATTTGGACTTGTTTTCCCTTGCTGTAGCCTAGGATTGTGCAATGCTGCTATTACTGTTGTTCTTTCTATCACACTGTAGCATTATAGTATTATATTTGGTGGCCCCACCAGATACTACTTAGAATGGATTTTCTTTAAAAAAAAATAATAGTGCATTAGATGGTTGCTGGGACCCCAAATACACTGAAGGAGTAACTCCAAGGGAAAGCCTTTGGGTTCCTTATTGCTAAGTTTAGTACCGATTACTGACACTGTGTGTTGGTAGTGGTTGTTCATTGTGAAGTCAGCTGCAGACCCAAGGACAGGCTATATGAACAGCTGGGGGACAGGGAAAGACAGCAGGCATTCACAGAATCGTAGGGGTTGGAAGGGACCTCCAGAG